ACTCCAGAGTAGTAGAGAGTCCAGCCTCTCTCAAGGAGTAAGGTTCCAGAGCCCGAGCTGTGCGTGGAGGTGAGCCCGACTATATCTAGCCGGTACCTCTCAACCTCCTGCACAAGCTCGGGCTCCTTCCCCACCAGCGAGGTGACATTCCATGTCCCCAGGGCTAGTCTCCGGGTCGTCGGGTCCCTGCCTTCGACTGCTGCCCGATCCACTGTGCACCAGCCCCTTACGAATCCTCCTGCAGGGGGTGGGCCCACGGGAGGACGTCCCCGCGTCGTTGAAATTCATCTTTCTATAACTGCAGACTTCACACTTAAGCACTATGGTCCAGGAAGATCACACATACAAAATTCCCCATCTCTGTCTCAATAGCTGAAGCTCTCTAATGCATCCCAAAGGAACACTCAGCTTTCAATTACCTCCAATAACAGCACTTATCAGAGCCCTCAGCTTTCCCCAGAGACTTGGGCCTTGATGCCTGTGCTCAGTGGCCCAGGACAGGGGCATTCATCACGGGGCGGAGTAACAGCTGGGGACTGAGGAAGAGGCACGCGTCAAACCCCTCTGGGACTACACTGGGCCAGCATCACATAGCCAGATGGCGCTGGGTGGAGTGGGAAAGGGGTGGGGGACATTAGGGCGTATCACATCCTCACTTTAACTCCACTTCAATATATATGTAAAATATAGGCATATACCAATATATACACAATGTTCAAGAAAAGGCATAAGCCTTGTGTATTCTGGGTATAGGGTAACACTGTAATAATGTCTGATTCACATCCCCTTTCTCACTGCAGTAGGGTGGGTGAAATTTGGCTGCTTGATTGTGCTCTGCCCATTAACCAGCTCCCTCTTTAATGGTCCACATGTTGAAGGGGAGGGGCAGTAAATCCTGTCCCCTGCCCTTGCTCTGCGGTGCCTCTGTGGAGACTTGTTTACGGGTACTGAAGAGTGCAAAAACATGATGAAAAAGTAGCTGAGATTTACAAGGCCTCTCCTGACAGCCAGGAAAAGGAGAAAATTAAACCAGAGAACATTAAACAGGCACCCATTACAGGGCTGCTCCGACACCAATAATAACCATCATTGTGTCCCGTCAGTCCGAGGTACATGACATGATTGCAAAGCCTGTCGCTCTGCACCCATGACAGCTAACATCTTTATACCAGCCAGATTACATGCTTGTGCGGGGTTAAAGAAGTCAGGGAGATTAGACAATTCTTTCACAAAATAAACTGGCATTATCTGGTCTATGCAAATATAACACAAGCACAAAATAGAGATGCTTCCTGTGGCCTGTATTTAAGAGTCTTTTCTGTACTTTTGTGACTCCTCTGTAGATATCTGTGCATTATATCACAGGTCAAAGTCTTTCCTGGATTCTGATAATCTCTTTAGATAATTAAAAAGTTTCTAATTGTGTATCTCTCAAATTTTATCAAAAACATTCAAAACATTGTATGATATAATTTGATTCGTATGTACACGCCATCTTTATGGACATTTTTAGAAAGCAGTACACTCATTATCATCTGAAAGGGCCACAATCCAAGATTTCTACTGCTCACTGTCTGCATCCGCATCTCTTTAGGCCCTTTAACTGACTTGAACATATATATTTATACATTCCATCTCAGTAAGAAGAGTGCTATACCATAATTCTTCACTGTTTGTGTGCTTTGAAAACGTTTTTTTTTTCTCCTTGGAAAATATGAGCACTTAGCTACATCTCTCTAATCCACACTCCAAAAAGATTATGACAATGGAGGCAGTGGGGACTGGATTAAAAACTAGATTTTGCATACAATCAAATCCTTGAGCACTTGTTGTATGGGCTCCTGCAGGCATACCCTTGTTTTCTTACCTTTTCAAATTTAATAAGATTGACTTAAATCCATTCTTTTAAGTTAATTATTTAACGCTTGACAGGAACGATAAATGATTCTAAATAGTAAACGTTCCTACTTCTACATGATCTATTCTGTCTACGGGTAAAAACATACAAGCCTATATGCAGTCAAATTGTTTGGGTATTTATGTGAAAGCACACACGTCTGCTGTGTAATCCACAACCTCGGTTTAAAACAAGCCTTGAGCATCATCTAGTGGTAACTAACTGACTCATGGCAAACTTTGTTTTACAGCTATTATTTGTGCATTTTTACATTTGTCACTTAAATTATTAATCACTGTTTGATCAAAAAAGGCAAAAAAACTCAAATGTTTCATGTACAGTACTCACACTCCTCTAAGCCCAGCTGGTAAGCGAGGTTCTGAAGTCCTTTGATCTTCTCCATCAGATTGGCTGTAGTCAAGCTCCCCAGCTCTGCATAAGAAGAACATAACCTATAACGGAAGCTCTTAGCTCCATGGAACTATTTTAAGACAGCTGCTGCAGGTACACAGAAGACGTTTCAACACAGCACACTTTTACTGCTTAGTACATTACCTTTCAACATTTCAATATCCTCACTCTCTAGTTCAGCCATCCACCTTGGGGGTGAACTATTGATGGGCTGTAAAGTAACAAACAAGCATTTTATGAAAGGTTTATACATCAGGATTAGAAATTACAGTATGCCAAGATTATTTCATTATCTATTTTGTAAATCATATAGTGGGCCACAGTGAATCTAACTCACATTTTTACAAGATGCAGCAAATTCTGCAACTCCAGGCACTGTGGGAGAGATTACAAAAGAGTTAAGATTAAAACAACATAAAACATAATTCCATAATAAATAATTACTCGGGGAGATTTAAACTTGCACTTCTCTGGCCACAGGTCTGGCGACGCTCGGTCCAGCTTCTCAAAACTCATCAAAGAGGTCTCAAAATCGTCACCTATCACAACATAAGAGGCAGTTTGTTTTTAAACATTTTTTAAGACACTGTGTATTTAGAAATAATGTAACAGCAGAGTTTCAGAAACAATCACAGATGAACATTGGGTAGTTTTACCCAAAGCAACCTAAAGTACTGCATGTACATTTTTTGTTCCATATACTTGTGAACAACAAAAGTGGAGGAAATAGGATGAAAATGTCAAAATTTAAACCAATATACCTGGCCATGGATTAAATATTGCAACTAGGTCAAGTACTGGTTTTAACCTCAGGCTGAATTTTAAAACAAGTATGGAGTGATATTTTTAAATAAAGTAAAATAATGTAATCTTTATCTAGTCATTTGACATTTCACTTATCACTGTATCATTTATTTGTTACAGAAATGGTGCACATGTGTAACAAACAAGATTTAACTGTCAGTTATATACCCAACACATACAGCGCACATTATAAACAATGTCACTAGCATTACATCATCTAACTCTACAGTAAATTAAAAAAAGAATATATATATAACAGCACTCCTTTATGAAGTAAATGTACAAGTTGTACAAATGTACATTTCGTGTATAAAATACAAATTACACCGTATACAAGCATAACATACAATGTCTGTGTTTTTGGTCAGATATGAAAACAGTCAAGCAAGACTCATACAACTAACAACTATTTTTATTATCGATTAATCTACTGATTATTTTGATGATTATTCAATTAATTATTTCTATACAGTGTCAGAAAATAGTAATAATTACTCAGTATAATTTCCCACAGTTCAAAGTGGCATCTTCCCATATCTGACTAACCAGTTGAAAACCCATAGATATTCAATTTACTTTAGTTACATATATGACAAAAAAAAGTGTTCAATCCTCACATTTGAGAAGCTGGAATCAGCAGGTTTTTGGCATTTTTGATTACAAAAATCACTAAAACAATGCTTAAGTTATCTAAATAGTTGTGGGCTACTTTTGCATTGACCAACTAACAGAGTAACTGACATTTTTTTTGCAAATTTAGTTGTAGATGTACTCTATGTCATATATAAAACAAAACATAGCAATGGTGGCACATAAAGATAAATACAGAAAACCGATATGAAACAAAAATAAACAAAGTTATATGTTCACAAACAGTTTAATATATATTTAAAAAACAATACTAAAACATATTAGAGCTTAAACAATTAGCCTACTTCATTAATCAGTTAGACTATGGACAGAACAATAGGCCTAATCAGCAGCCTATTTTGATAATGGAGTAATCATTTCAGTCATTTTTCAATTTAAAAAAGTTAATTTCTACAGAATCTGACAGAATTTACTTCTCATCTTTGTCATATATTGTAGCAGACTGAATATCTGTGGGTAGTGGTCAGGCAGAGTTGTGACTGGCTTTATAACAGACATTTTTCACTATTTTGGACATTTCATACATCAAACGACATAATTGTTTCATAGAAAAAACAATCAGCATGTTAATCATTATTGGAAAAACATTCAAATCAAATTCATTCAAAGCAGATAATTAAATTAACATCTATAAAAAAGTGTAACATTACTGGCATCATAAAGCATACTTTATGGCACAACAGATGACGTTACATTGTGCAATAACAATAATGTAATAATGTTGTAAAAACTCGAAAGGTGCTGTGAAACAAAAGACTGTTACCCATAACAGAGGTTATTTAGCCTGTAGCAGCAAGCAAGCCTCGAGAGTTCATGTTTTAGCTAGTAGCACCCACAGATTAGGCTCTGTGGGTCAGACTGTACGTTAGGTTCTGGCTGCTGTCTACTGTGCTTCCCTGTACACTGAGCTAGTGAAGGCTAGAGCCAACGGAGAGACATGAACACCACCCCCTACAGCGCTAACGTGTAAGCTGGCGTCTCTGGATGTTCGTATACGACAGCACAGGAGTCTTTAACGCTTAAGTGTGCTTAGAAATGTCACATTTGCAATTTTTCAAACCAGAGCAGGGTAAGGAATTAGAATTTACCTCCATTTGGAGACGCCATCTTCAAAATAAACACGTGATAGACGATAGCCAATGACAGAACCCGTGCTCGGAGTTGACGTGTACCGGTGTACTTTACAAAAACGCCACCAGATGACCCACAGGTCTGTTATCAGGGTACAATAAATCCAACAGCAAGGAGAAGGCAGGGCCATAGAAATACACTTTGTTCTAAACGTTTGCTGTGGTTTTTGAATGGCGGCGTAGGGTCTTTTCCTACATTAGCATTCTCGTCTTGCACTATTTCGGCAACAAGAATAGTCTACCTGGCACGTCGTAGCCTAATATTTTTCTCCCTGATTTTCGATAGTATAAATTATTCGATTATTCACTGTCGGCAACACACATTTCCTACTGGGACAGTTTCAGAAAGAAGTGAAGAGATATGCATTTCTTGCTTATTCAAAGTGACGTAATTATTATTATTAATTTTGGCCTTTGTCATTCTGTGGTTAACTGACATTATGTTTCATGGTATGAATTACCAAAATTACAAAATGTGCACAAAAGCACATTACTAAACCTAAACAGAATCATAATTTGGACCTATTTATTTTGATATATAACTTTCACAATTTTTTCATGATTTTATTACATCTACTTATGTTTCTTGAAGGGGTTCTTGTTTTTGAACATAGGCACAGACTACAAGAATAACAGTTTATTGAACACACTAAAATGTACATGACAGTGAGAATCAGTAACAGTCATGTAAAAACTGAAGCCAGTACTAAACAGCACTATCAGCTGAAAACAACAAAAACACTGGGCACTAAGATCAAGACAAAAATACAGTCTGATAGCTTCTTAAATGTATGCATTTTCTTTAAAACCAATGAGCAGGAGATGCAGCATTTAAACCTTTCTGGTTTGCTTTCACTAGTTCCTTTCAGGCACTTTAGCAGATAGTCCAGGATGTAATATGTGCTGTTAGCCAAGGCAGCTTGGTGATGTTTAGTGTCAAAATCTTTACTCTCAAATACGCTACAATGCCTTCCCTGGCTTTCATATTGCACAGATCCACATTTGTCTTATTAATCTATCTTTATTACTACAATACTTGAAATGCTGGGACACAAACATTTGGACAGGTAGTACAGTACCATGTACAGTCAGTACCTCATGAAATTTTTCCTCTGTGAAAACACTGTAAGACAACATGTCAATGACACACAACATTGAATTTAGACCCCCACGCTCGGAACAGTTATGTGATTACATCATTGTCATCTTCATGCAGAGCTGACTAGAACTCCCAGGAGTCCATCCACTTCAGGCCAGCCATGGCGCTGCCAGGCTCGTGCGCCAGAGGACCTGTCATGCCATAGGAGAGTGGATGGAACAGGCAGAAACTGACGGGCAAAGAATGGATGCCAATGTTTAATACAAAGTAACAAAAGTGCTTTCAAATTTTAAAATGTATTATGAGGTTATCTGAAATCACAAATTAAAGTCTTGGTGTGAGCTGTCAATTTGAACATTCAACTAACCACAATGCATTAGACAAGCTGACCTAAATGAAAGTGATGGAACTGTTGTCAGTTGAACAGTCTGAAGTTTTGGGAATTATGTGGAAATTTATGCATGTGCATTTTGGCTGTAAAAAGGCAAAGTGGTTAAAATGATGTGTATCATCACAAGAATCCCCATTAAATGCAAAGGCCATCACACACTGATGATATACTGTTTATGACAGTGTAAGAATGAACTACAGTAAGATTGTGCTTCACAGTACTTACTGAGCTCACCTGTATAGAACACTAAACAGAAGTATTGCATGCCCAACTCTCTGCAGCCAATCTGAGTAAGGTTGTCGGAGCAGCAGATCAGTGCTTTTCAACAGGACATCTAATGTAATTCCTATAAGAAACAAACAAAATGCTTTAACCAGAACCCCTTGACAAACATGCATTATATCTGAGGTTTACAAAGGCTTATACCAAGGGCTCCATCAGACAAAACTGAGACAACTGGGTGCCCTCAACATACATACATCTATTATCTACACCACTTATCCCCAAGAGGGTTGTGGGGGGGCTGGAGCAAATCCCAGCTGACAATGGGTGAGAGGCGGGGTCCACCCTGAACAGGTTGCCAGTCTATTACAGGGCTGACACTTAGAGACAGACAACCACACACACTCACTCCTATAAGTAATTTAGAGTCACCAATCAACCTAAGGGAGGAAGACGGAGTACCCGGAGAGAACCCATGCAGGCACAGAGCTCTTCAAGGACATTCATACTACTATTCAGAACCTTTTAAAACTTCATACATTTTAAATATTCAGCTTTATTTTGAAACTCTTGCCCCATTCAAATGAATGGGAAAATTCAACTTCAGCAAACTTTCAGCTATTTCAGCTATCAAAATGTTCAGCTCCTCAAAGACATTCATGCTTCTCTTCAGAAGTTTTCTAAACTTCATACTTTTAAAATATTTAGCTTTATTTTGAAAATCTTGCCCCATTCAAATGAATAGGAAAATTCTACTTCAGCATACTTTCAGCTAGCAAAACCATTCAGATGTCAAAATATTCAGCATTTTCAGGGCGATCTTTTAGCAGTCAGCATCCATACGCATTTTCTTCAAAAAATGCATTTTTCTAGTTTTGTTTTTGATCTACTTGGGGGATAATAAAGTTTTGGAACTACAGTTTACATAATGATTTTGCATGTATCCTACAACTTGAATTCTACTTTTTACTATATGTATTTGTTTTTTTGTATCAATTATGTTTACAATGCACCCACGTGTGTACCTACAGCTAACCTGTGAAACTTGAAAACAAGATGACTCTCTGGCAAGTTCTGAAGCCGAAAGGAGCATCCTTTTTTGTTAGATTTTTCAGCAGATTTATAGATGTCTTTTCACGGTGGACATCGAAGGTAATGCCATCCTCAGAAATGAAGTCACACTGAATATAAAAATGTCTGCATCATGTGTATGTGTTCAGATTTGACTTAGTTATGACTCAAAGAAGTACATTTGACACAAACTCCGGCTCCCCTTCACACTTTGCAAATCTCTGCAAATGCAATAGGATTTGGTACCTGTTAACATGCTGCTGAACAGCATGGCAGGGAAGTAATGGTGATAGTAGAGGACACGGCCCATAGCATAGAAAGGTGCATAGTGAAGCAGCCAGCCAAGGAGCAGCACTCCTCCTCTCATAAGCACATGTGAATGCTCTGAAACAAAACATTTACAGTGGGGCAAATAAGTATTTGATACACTGCTGATTTTTCCAAGTTTTCCCACTTACAGAAAATGGACAGATTTGTAATTTTCATCGTAGGTACACCTCAACTGTGAGAGACAGAATCTACAAAAAGAAACAAAATCCAGAAAATCACATTGTGAGATTTTTAATTCGTTAAATAATTTATTTCTATTTTATTGCATGAAATAAGTATTTGATCACCTACCAACCAGCAAGAATTCAGGCTCTCACAGACCTGTTAGTTTGTCTTTAAGAAGCCCCCCTATCCTCCATTCATTGCCTGTATTAATTGCACCAGTTTGAACTCGTTACCTGTATAAAAGACACCTGTCCACACACTCAATCTATCAGACTCCAACTTCTCCACTATGGGCAAGACCAAAGAGCTGTCTAAGGACAAAATTGTAGACTTGCACAAGGCTGGGATGGGCTACAGGACAATAGGCAAACAGCTTGGTGAAAAGGCAACAGCTGTTGGTGCAATTATTAGAAAATGGAAGAAAATTCAAGATGACTGTCAATCTCCCTTGGACTGGGGCTCCATGCAAGATCTCACCTCGTGGAGTATCAATGATCCTGAGAAAGGTGAGGGATCAGCCTAGAACTACATGGGAGGACCTGGTCAATGACCTGAAGAGAGCTGGGACTGCAGTCTCAATGG